AACTCATATACTTCCGATAAGGACAGTTCGGATAAAGGCAAACAGAAAGAACACGAGGTCAGGATTAGGGGAAGGGATAGAGATGCTGAAAGGAGCATTGGGTTGAATCTAGAATCTAGGGGAGGTGATGATGATGAAAATGATAGTGAAGGAAGTGTTGGAATTTTGCAGCATAAATTTAACGTCTGCAAACAGTGCACTTCAGAGTTTGCTCATGAAACTGGGTGCTGGGTTGGATGAGTTGCTTCCAAGCGTAGCAATGGGTTCGGACCACATTTTCAACATTAGGAGATCAGACTTAAAAAACCGATTTTGTCTCTCAGATTATAGACTGTTTTTCAGGTGAAATTTAGACGATAATTTGGTCGGAGTGACCAAAATTAATAAAAATTGCATACTCAAGATACTAAATTAATACTTTTAAAAGTCAAAGACTGAAATTAACAGAAAATGCTTGCATGATCCTCAGACAACTTCTTCCGCAACATCTCATTCTTAGCATTGGTATATATAGATTGACTTGACAGCGAACCTTGCAGTTTGAGCAAAATTGCATCAAACTATCACAAGAGTCACTTAAATATAAATATATATATATATATATATATATATATATATATATATATATATATATATATATAATTAAAAGTAAAATCCTCCTATAAGTAAATGTCAAATGAAAATTAAATAAAATCTATTAATTAGTAATATTGCATAATTGGTAATATTATGTATGGTATTATATTCTATAATATAATTGATAATATTATTGTTCAAGTATAATAAAAACCCTATGTAATAATGTAATAATAATAAAATTAAATTAAAATTAAAATAATAACAATAATAACTACAAGAACAACAATAACAATAAAAATAACAACAACAACAACAACAACAACAACAACAACAACAACAAAAATAACAATAATAATAATAATAATAATAATAATAATAATAATAATAATAATAATAATCCAAACAAAACTATATACAAAATAAAAATAAAATAAAATAAAATAATTAAAAAAAAAAAAAAAAAAAGGCAAAGGTGGCCCCCCTTTGTAAATGATGTGGGGTAATTTTGATCTCACATTGAAAATGTTTGGAAAGAGGAGCTCTTGAGCTCCTCTAAGACCTCTAAGTGGAGCAATGCTCCTCATACAAACATATAATTGCTTGCCCATCAATGTGGGCAAGTATTGAGAAGTCCAAATGCTTTTTTCTTTTCCTTTTTTTAAAGTATTATTGACCCGACAAATTATGCCGTGGAACTGTGTCCACTTTGCAAGGTTGACACAATTCAAAAATTGTTCATAATTATGAATATATAGTCAACAAATATGAACATATAGTTCTATAATTATGAACATAGTGTTGCAGTGAAGAAAAAATTTCTAATAAGGATATATTCAAGAAAACCTTGTCTACTAGGACTATGTGGTCCAATGGTACCTGGGTTGGACTTCCAATAGGAAGGTTGTGAGTTCAAGCCTCAGTGGAGGCGTTATTAGCTCTTTGTGTTTCAGTAAGTTAAAGTATATAAACAGATACTACAATCTAATAGAGGTCAATATTCTCAATTGATTACATGTCTACAACGAGGCATGTCCCACTAGTTCAATCCCAGTCCTTGAAGTGAATGGCGTGTGCCATATCATAATAAAAATATACTACAATCTAATAGAGGTCAATATTCTCAATTGATTACATGTCTACAACGAGGCATGTCCCACTAGTTCAACCCCAGTCCTTGAAGTGAATGGCTACAAAGGGTCGTAGTTGTGGATATGGACAATAGAATGAATTATTAGAATATCATATCGGAGTTTCGATCGTACTTCAAAGAGATTTGCCTCCTCTTATTCTAATATGATAAAATTCCTTTATTTTAGTTATGATAATATATTTATGCATGTGTGTGTGCGCGCACTAGTCATATATTTTCCAAAAAATTATCATTATTGCATAATTAAGCTTAGATAGATGAGAATATGTCATATATATGTCTTTACATCCAATCCAATTTATGTTTAAAATTTGAGAGCATAATTGAAACATAAAATATTGTGACAAGATTTCTAGAAATCATCATTTCTTACATTGTATGGTGAGTGTTCTAAATTCTAATTGTCATGTGACGCTTGTTTTTGTGTCACAATTTGCTCTCTTATGCTTTATGGCTATGTGAATCATCATCATGAAAGAAAATTTATTATAATAATTATTTGCTATAAGCCATGAATGTTGAATTTATCGCATATCTTATAAAATAAAATTTATCTTGATATGGTTTTCAAATCATGAAAATATATATAGTTATGCTCATCTTGGTGCATGCTATCTTTAAATATCACATATATGGAGAAAATTGGGTGTAAATCATGATATTCTATGTAATGCTATGATATTCTTAATTAAATATTTTCTTTGTTTCATTAAAGAAGCAAATGAATATATATCATCACTCTTGATTGAATCCAGAACAAATGAGGAAAAATATGTCTTGTGGATAGTGCAACCACACACAAAAAGAATAAGAGATTTGTTACTACAATATTTGGTAATACAAAAATGATTTAGGGCAGGCCCGGCTCTGGGCAAGGGCAGGCTAGGCCCTTGCCCAGGGCCCATGCTTGGAGGGGGGCCCACATAGCATGTATTCCCTTTTATATATAGTTTATATGTAGAAGTTATTGATATACATTTGTTTAACATAAAGCTGAAGTTGTCTAGTTGGTTAGTGCTTAGACTGAAACCCAAAGGACATGGGGTCGAATTTGTCCGCTCTCACCTTGTTTAATAAATTGTCTCTAATTTGTTGAAAACTGAAATCTAAAATGCCTCCTTCTGCTTTATTATTATTTTTTTTTCTAGTTAATGCTAAAAGTTTTCCTAAAAACATATAAATAAATAGTATTTCTAAAAACATATAAATAAATAACATTTGTCATATATAATATGCTTTCTATTTAAATTATTTTACTCAAACAATCATAAGTTCATAACTATTCTATATGCTATTTATTCAAATTTTTTTAGTCAACAAAACTCTCTGATTTGTGAGACTAGATAACATAATGTTTTTTGAAAACAATATCATAATGTTGAAAAGTAAAAGATTTTTTTTTAATGAGTATCTAGTTAATGGAAAAAAAAAATTATAAAAACATATAAATAAATAAGATTTGTGCTAAATTAAATGGATGGTCATACGTTCGAACCCCGGTGGGGATACAGATATTAACTTGTAAACAGTTTATTCATTTTTATAAATTATTTCTTGGTGAAAGTACCTAGAAATTTTTTCATGATTATTATTGTGAATGTAAAATTGTTAAAAATATGTTAATCTTATTTCAAGTTATTTGATATTAATTTTTTTTCCTTTATGTAATTTAAATTTTATGTATGAAATATATGTTAACAATAGGTAGGGCCTATTTCTTTTGTTATGCCCCGGGCCTATAAAATAATAGGACCGACCCTGATTGAGGGCTCCGTAGAGCCAACATATTATTGCATGGAGGAACAACATTTATAATACATAATGCCTTAGCTTGTTTCTTCTGTAAATTTGTTCAAGTTTTAAAGATATTCGTAATAACGAATATCATGTTGAGACTATTAGGACTCTATGTATTTGAGTTAGATTATGATTCCCAATCCTAGTCTCCCTATGACTCTCTTGTTATATATACATGTAATATGTTGCATCTCTGGAACGGACCGTCTCTAATCTTTCCATCTCTTCGGTCACATCGATCGTAAATTCCTTGTCCACCGCTCACCACTTTATCATCATCAAACTGACCTACAAAAACTACATGTTTTGGAGAGCTCGGATTGTTCCCTTTCTTGATGGTCATGATTTAATTGGGTTCATTGACAGTACGAACCCATGTCCGCCGGCTTTACTTTCTGGCGGCGAAGACGACGCAGTGGCGCAACCCAACCCTGCCCATCGAGCTTGGGTTCGCTAGGATCAAGCCCTATTATCCATGCTGATGTTGTCATTCTCTGATGATGTCATGCTACTCGCCATCGGTCACCGTACCAGTTGGGCAGTTTGGACTGCCGTCGTCGGCGCCCTTGCGTCGTCATCTCGGTCTCATGGCTTAAACCTTCTTGGCCAGCTACAGTCTCTTCACCAAGGAGATTCATCCGTTGTTGACTACATTGGAAAAGCGAGGGTATTAGTTGAGGAACTTACCATCGCCGGTCGGTCGTTAACGGTTGAGGAAAAAAATCTCTATATTCTTCAGGGTTAAGGCCCGAGTTCCAGGGTCTCACACCCTCTCTCAATGTTCAGGGTCAACCCGTCACGCTCCAAGAACTTGCTGATCTTCTTGGTGCGGAGGATCGGAGTTCATGATGGGCGGTGGTTCCGACGGTGGTTCGCCGGCAGCCTTGTAAACACCCATTTTTTCTTAAACTTTAAAACATAGAATAAGTGGTCTAAAAATACGAAAAAGCGGAAGTAAAGACTAAGTAGGATAAATAAATCCAAAGTCAAAACTAACAATAGAAAGAGGAAGTGTCAATGCCACAGCTACCCGTCCACGAGTAACTGCACAGGCTAAAGGACTACATAACTAACAAGAGTCAAAGCTTTACACATCAAAATAAGGGGATATGCACTCCCCAGTGTCCAAGCACCAACAAAATAAAGTAGTCAAGCTACACCCAAAAAGAGAGGGATAACTAGAGCTAACATCATCTAAGCCCTAGAGCTACACATACTACCACTATCTATGTGAGCTCTTATCATGCATCAAGATCACCTGAAAAGAGTTATAAAAGCACATAGGAAAATAAACCCGTTAGCATAAAATGCTAAGTATAAACCACTCAACCCTGTAACATAACTATAGATATAGATTTTGGAAAAAGGTTGACAATTAAATACAATGAATACCCGCACAAACAATAGGATAAACCAACAATAAACTTCAGTAACGATACAATATAAATAAACAAATATACTCATTCAATATATGCAAGATCAACACACTTTTAAGATGAACATTATGCCAAAGGTATAGATACCAAGTAAGAATCATACTAGCATGCGAATATACATATACAACAATATAACATGCTTCATTTCTCAAATACTCAACTTTCATATACTATGCAATAATATAAAGTCATACGATAGATGCAATAGTATAGATATATAGATACTCATATTCTCGATAAAAGATATAATACTTTTCTGCGGAGGACCTCTTTCACATCTCATGAATATCTTTTCTCATCTTTCTCAATCTTTCTCTTTTCTTTTCTTTCTTTCAAAACTTGGGTCTGTGAGGCAGGTACTCCGCCGCGGCAAAGCCCTAGCGACGGTGCTTCCCACACACCGCCACATTCGCGCACCTATGGAACCTCAAATTGGTGGAGAGGTAGTAAAGGAACTTAACGAATCATGAACGGACATATCCGGGATGGCAAACAAAGACCGGCCTAATACTCATCTCGCCCACAAAACCAAATCTCTAGGTTCTTAACCTTTCTTTCTTTCTTTCTTTCTCTTTGGAATCAGGTATCGTACTTTCAGTGTGCACACCCCCTAACCGGGATTCCAAGCCCAGCGGGTAGTATCCAACTTAGAAACTCAAGATTTTTCTACCAAGCTACTTCATTTGTCAGTGCTTAACAGATATTTTCTCTTTTCATCCGAAAGGACATAGTCCAAACGGGAGCCTCCAGAACAACGGTTTTCCTCACTTCACATAGATAGCATACATATATCTCATGCAACTTCTCTTTTCATATTGACAATTAGAATGGCATGCAAGCTTTATAAAATAATGTAGATATAGGTTTCCAAAATACATATACGGGTTTTGAAAATATCAAAAGGCAATAATATAGGCCATCTAAAGTATGCAAAAGCTTTTAATATGAAAACATAGGTTTTATGTACCAAAGATTATGAAATAGTCCAATATGCAAATGAAACCATATGATCATACCAATCTCAATACTCATGAACTAGATACACCACTAGTCATTTAATCAACTCCTCTCATAACTCAAATCCAACATGGTACACAACTTTCATGCTCAACAGTACTCAATAAACATTTAGTAAAATTATGAATCATGCTTCGTTTGGAAAAGTGGATTTTATTCAGAAATCACATAAACACATTTCATACTAACGTGTCGTTACGAGCCCAAGTCTTCGAGCCACAAGGGCCCACGATTCTCGATCCGAAACGAAAGTAGGCTGAGCCACAAAGGCCCTGCCCTTCCAGAACACCCAACGGAGCTAGGTGACGGAGCTAGTGGAGCTGCGCCAAGCCACGGTGCTAGGTAGCGGATCCCCTCTGGGTCTGCCACCTAGTTCCACCGGGTAGTAGAAATCACCAACAGATCCCTCCTAGGTCCGTTGGTAGTTTCGCTAGGCCAAACTGAAGCTTCTGGCAGTGAGCTTCGAAAGACCAACACAACAGAGATCAGACACATTTCCATATTTCAATACAACTCCAAAGCATCTTCAAACATTTAAAAACAACATGATAGCAACACAAGCTCATAATACACACATGAACATATAATCTATCACATTTTTAGGCATCAAAATACCAACAAACGCATTCATATCATCAGCAACAATACAAGATTAAAATGATAGGTTTTGGGAGTCCTTGATTTATACCTTGAGCGTATTCAACCCTAGTAGGAATCCCTCCTCTCCTTCAACCAATGTTTCCACCTTCACCTCCTAGATTTCTCAACAAGAACACATAGAAATACATCACACATACATACACAAACATAAGCTATAGTCTAAAAGAATATGCTAGAAAGGGATGGAAGATGAAAACATGGAAAGATAGATGAAGGAAAGTGAATAGAGATGGAGGAAAGATGATTTATTACAAAAGCTTCTTCTTCTTCTTCTTGAAAATTCTCTAGAGCTAAGAGTGATAGAGAGGAAATGGGAGGGATCGAGTCTAGACAAAGGGAATAGTGATGCTTAAATAGGTACAGCTCAAAACCCTAGGTAACCAATGCTAAAAATTTTCGGCCAAGAGGGGTTAAAAGGTCATTTCACGATTAAAAATCTCGGGTTATAATTTTGGGTCAAAAGTTGGGTCAAGTTAGGATTAAAATGGATTTCTAAATTATTAGAAATGAAATGGGTTCAATCTTACGAATATTTCTAAGCAAAAACACTTGAATCAGTTTCACAAGTTACTCTCAAGTTTCACTCAGATTGACTTTTTGGGTCAAAACTTTGTACATAAATATACTCAAAAGATAAGATTTTTAAAATATAAGTTTTTTTGGATGTTGAATTACCTAAAATGAAGGGATTAAAAATATTTAATTCGTACACCCATTTGAAAAATTAACGTAGGAGTGAAAATAATTTATTTTGGAATTTATAAAATAGAATTTGAGAAAATAAATTTTGGGTTGTCACAAGCCTTCAAGGCGCAGCATGGAGGGCAGCAAAGGGGACATGGCTCCCAGCCTCGTTGTGGAGGCGGTCTAGGTAACGGGTAGAACAACGGCCAAATCGGCCAGTTGCGCGGTGGCGGCGGCGGCTGGAATCGCGGTGGTAGGAACGGTAATTGGCAGCCTAAATGTCAGTTATGTTCAATGATTGGTCATACTGCGGTCACATGTCATCTCCGGTATGCCTAAGATCCTCAGGCTAACATCATTTATCAAGAACCTCCTTCGGATTCTTAGGGGTCTCATACTTGGTGTCTAGACACGGGTGCAACTAATCATGCTACTCCGGACATAGCTTCTCTTTCGGTCTTGGAGTAGTACAAAGGTAATGACACGTTACATGTCAGTGATGGTATGGGCTTACCTATTAGTCATATTGGTCATGCTACTTTTAACACCCTTTCTAGATCTTTTCAATTATCCAATATCCTTCATGTTCCTAGTTTGTCTACATCTTTATTATCTATCCATAAATTTGCGTTGGATAATAAGGTGTTTTTTGAGTTTCACCCGTCTTTTTTTGTTGTGAAGGATATCAACACCAAGGAAACTCTTCTACGGGGCAATAGCTCTAGGGGGAGGGGGGCTTTACAAGATTCCTATTCCAAGTTCGTCTCCTACTGTGTTTCTCTCAACTCGTGCATCCATGTCAATTTGGCATAATCGTCTAGGTCATCCACACCAACGTGTTATTATTCAAATTCTTTCTTCTTGTTCGGTTAGTGGATAGAAAAATAATATTCTTTGTGTTTCGGTTCTATGTAATGCATGTCAGCTAGGGAAGTCTGCACGTTTTTCCTTACCGCGTGTTGAGTCCTCTAGTTCATGTATTCTTGATTTACTTTACACAGATATTTGGGGACCAGCTCCCATTCTTTCTAATAATGGATATTGTTACTTCGTTATTGTTAATGATTACTCTCGTTACACTTGGTATTTCCCTATGCCTCAGAAATCTGATCTATATGCAATTTTTGACAAGTTTCGTGTTATGGTTGAGCACTCGTTCAATCGTAAAATTAAATTCATACAATCTGACCTAGGAGCTGAATACAAAAAGTTACATTCCACCCTGTCTCACCTAGGCATTATTCACAGACAATCTTGTGCATACACTCATGAACAAAATGGTCGTGTCGAAAGAAAGCATAGATATCTTGTTGAAACAGGTTTAGCTCTCATGAGCTGTGCTTCTGTTCCCTCTAAGTATTTGGATTATGCTTTGGAGACTGCAGTTTATTTAATTAACAGGATGCCATCTTCTGTGTTAAATAACTCCAGTCCTCATCTTCTATTGCATAAATCCCCTCCGTTTTATTCCTTTTTTCGTGTCTTTGGTTGTCTATATGTTATCCTTACTTGCATCCCTATAATCGTCACAAATGTCTTACAGGTCTTCCTCTTGTGTCTTTCTTGGTTATTTAGAGTCATTTAGGGGGTATAGATGCATGGACCTTCAGACTAATAAGACATAAGTATGCAGGCATGTTCGATTTGATGAAGGAGTGTTTCCTTTTAGTAAAAATGTTTTGCATGCACCACATGTCGATTTTGTTATTGTCCCAATCCAGCCCACGGCTACGGTTCATATTACTCAGCTTGAACCGGCATCGGCTCTTGCTGCCCAGCCGGAATCGGTCCGAGACGAGTCTGCTGCTCCCACCGAAGTAGCTATTGTCGCCCGCCCTCGAGGCTGCCCAAGGGGGCGATCTACGGTCCGGACGCACACTTTGGCGACTCGAAGTCATTCTGAGGCTCCGCTTTTAACTCTCTCTACTAAGGTTTGTCTTACTGAACCTACTTGTTATACATAGGCAGTTAAACATGATGAGTGGCGCAAGGCAATGGATGATGAGTTTAATGTTCTTCTTCAGAATGAGACTTGGTGTCTCGTTCCATCACATTCAGATATGAATGTTATTAGGTGGAAATGGCTTTTTCGCACCAAAAAGCTGATGGATCGATTGAACGATACAAAGCAAGGTTAGTAGCCAAAGGGTTTAATCAAGTACCTGGACAGGATTTTGTCGACACATTTAGTCCAGTAGTCAAACTCACCACAGTTAGGTTACTCCTATCTTTGGCTATATTCTCTGGATGGGCTATTAAGCAGCTTGATGTACACAATGCTTTTTTGAATGAGAAATTGTTTGAAACTGTTTATATGAAGCAACCACCTAGATATATTGATAAGCACTTTCCTAATCATGTTTTCCTGTTAAAACGTTCTCTATATGGATTAAAACAAGCTCCTAGAGCTTGGTTTAATCGATTGCATGTGTTTCTGATGCCAGCAGGGTTTAAAGCTTCGAAAACATATGTATCTTTATTTTACTACTCACAAGGTTCAAGCTTCATTTATGTTCTGGTGTATGTTGATGATATTCTTGTAATGGGCAATGATCAAAATCTTGTCAGTACAACAGCATTATCTTCTACATTCAAGATTAGAGATCTTGGCGAACCTGGTTTCTTTCTTGGGATTGAAACTGTTAAATATGGTGATGGAATTTTACTTTCTCAACAAAGATACATGACTGATATCTTAAAACGTGCTGGCATGATGGACTATAAACCATTAACTACTCCAATATCCGCTTCGAAAACCATTGTTTCTAGCGTCGATTTATATGATGATGCTACACAGTATAGGAGTTTGGCTGGAAGTTACAGTATCTTACGGTTACTCGTCTTATCCTTTGCAGTCAACCAACTCTGTCAACAAATGCATGCTCCTACATTCTCTCATTGGGAGCAATTGAAACGTGTATTGAGGTATGTAAAGGGAACTACTACTTATGGTCTACGAATACGGAAGTCAATGTCCAGAGAATTACATGATTTTTTAGATTCTGATTGGGCTGGCTATCCTGAGGATCCTAAGTCAACTAGTGGGTACGCTCTTTTTCTTGGTTCTAACCCTATATCATGGGTATGTAAGAAAAAAAAAAGAATTGTTGCTAAATCGTCTACTGAGGCTGAATATAAAGCTTTAGCAGATGTCTGTGCTGAGGTAATTTGGATCCTCTCTCTACTGCGTGAAATTGGCGTGACTGGTGTGTCTACTCCCAGGATGTGGTGTATAATCTTGGTGCTAAATACATGTGTGCCAATCATATTTTTCATGCTCGTACTAAACATGTAGAAATTGATTATCACTTTGTTAGAGACAGAGTTGCGAATGGAGATATACAAGTTAATTTTATTTCAACTAAGGATCAACTGGCAGATATCTTTACCAAAGCTCTACTTGGTCCTATATTTTCTTTTCTTAGAGACAAGCTACAAGTCACTACTGTACCTTGTGCTTGAGGGGAAGTATTAGGACTCTATGTATTTGAGTTAGATTATGATTCCCTATCCTAGTCTCCTATGACTTTCTTGTTATATATACATATAATCTGTACTATTGTAATTACCTCATTCAATACAATTCTATCAACTCTCATCGAGACTATAAGAGAAAGGAATCAAGAATTCCTTCAAATTACAAAAGCAATATCAGGGAAGAATATGTGTTGAAAAATTCACTACTCTTTTCTACAGTTTTTATTGCGCAAGAATGAGTATCATTGATGTCAATCTTACTGTAAATTAAAAGTTTATTGATTTGAAAGATTTTAAGATTTGACATGATCGATTAGATCATCCTGAATATATGATGTGATGATGACGGCTTCTTATAAATTGAAAAAAAAAAAAGAATTTTATAAATCATTAATAATCTCACCATTTATGCATTTATGTAACCTCCATATGATCATTTGAGTAGCATTATAATGTTTATCATATCAGAATATATATGTTATATGTTACTAGGACTATGTGGGCTAATGGTATCTAGGTTAGACTTCCATTTGGAAGGTTGTGAGTTTGAGTCTCAGTGGAGGCGTTATTGGCTTTTTGTGTTTCAGTAGGTTGAGGAAGTATATGAACAGATACTACATTGTAATAGAGCTAGTAGCATTCAAAAAAAAATGTTATTGAATTGCATTAATTTGACATATAATTGATTTTCTCTTTTGTGAGTAAACTGTTTGGCCTTGTTAATATGACTAGCAAATTATTTAACTATCTTATTAAGGTGCTACTAACTCTATTAGATTGTAGTATATGTTCTCTGTTCAAACATACTTTCTCAAGTTAATGAAGCACAAAGAGTCAATAACGCCTCCATTGAGGCTTGATCTTAAGGTCTCCCACATGGGAGAAGTCACTACATGCCATCTGAACATAAAATGCTTGGCAATTACTTTAGTTTTAATTAAAGCTATATTGACATTTTATGAGGTGATGTCATTTTGGTTTGCCAATTTTTGCTCTTAAAATATGTATATGCTTTCTCTATTTAAATAAATAAATAAATAAATAAATATATATATATATATATATATATATATATATATATATATATATATATATATATATATATATATATTGTTGGTGATAATGAACCAAAATCGATTTTATATCGTAAAATAATATTTATATATACACACACAAGTATATAAAATATTATTTGATATATATCCGAAATATATATATATATATATATATATATATATACACACACAAATATATATACACACAAATATATATATGACGGAACCAACGGTTATATATACATATATATCTACGAACAAGATATACCAATATATATCAACCGAAATTGGAACTAATAATCCTCATATTATAAGTCCAATCCAACGAATATATCAAAAGAAGGGAGGATTTTTGCTTAGAAGCATAATCCAAAACCGAAAGAATGAAAGATGGCTCGTGTATGGGTATAGGGTTTATAGCGTGAGTGAAGAGACCACTCTTTCCTTAAAACCTTATTTGCCACCTCCCACAACTGCTAGGAGCGTCGTGGCCTAGGTTTCCTAGGATAAAACGCGCTACATACGGTTCGACGCTTGAGCACCCAAACGAACGAACCCGGCGAACTAGAGCAAAGCCTTGAACACAATTAGCTTTAAGAAAGGAGTAGAAGCAGAAGAATTTTGAAGCTTGAAAACAAATTTTCGTGTAGAGCTCTTGTGGTTTTTCCTTGGTGTGTAAAGCTTCTACCTTCTACCCCTCCTTATATAGGAGTGGTGTACTAAATAGCATTTATCATGGCGTTAATTACACGTTGTGTAACATCTGAAACAGCAACCCCCATTAACAGAATTAAATTCAAAACTGGAGCTCATCACCAAGTTTCGGCCTTGGCTAACTTAACCTGCAAGGCCAGCCAATTTCTGGACGACATTCGTGCCCGTAGGTGCCGGCGCACACGAGCCCGGGCTTGAATCAAGCCTTTCCGAAGTCATCTCTAGTTGGAATTTGATTTCCACTTTGACCTGACCCAAATCAGAAGTGGACCCCAGTGATAATTGTACCACAAAATAGCCACTTAAAATGCTATTTTAATGCTATTTTTCCAACATATATATATGTATATATATATATATATATATATATATATATATATATATATATATATATATATATATGATTGCATATATTTTTTTGAGTACCTCATATGTTGCGAAATTCTTTAAAATTTTAAAAAATCCAAATTCTTTTAAATTATAGCATAGTTCAGCTCGTTAAAATTGTATTTTTTATATTATGTGTATACACCATTGAATAGGTATTGGTACAAAAGAGAATAATGGTATGATGTGATATAAAAGGAGGCTTGAAACTCATGGATTTACACAGAGACTCATAATTGATATTTGATATAATATATTCTCCCATAAGAAATAGCATTAAGTTTCGCTAATTATTATCATTGGTACTTGGTAGTGAATAATAAGCAATTGATGGACGTGACTGCATACTTATGGGTCAATGGACGAAATATTTGAAAAATTCATGATGAATTTAAAAGCTCTCAAAATGAGAGAAAGTGAAAATCACAACATGAAAGTATTAAGGCCTTTATATGACCTAAAACAATTAATGATTGACTGGGTATTTTTTACTTTTGAAGAATGGGAATGAAGTTAATATATTATTATGTTCTTAATAAAGAGTTGTTAATGAAGATATTTATTTATTAGAAACTCTCATTGTCCTATAAGGGGACAATAACACAGAACATAATTCGAACCCCTAACCATCTGTTTAGAATCAAACACTATCCACTAAGCTATGGACACATTAATATAAGTGTTCGCATGCCGTAAATCTTGACCTTTATAGTCAACAATATTTGTTTCTAAGTTCCAATAAAACTTGTAGGGTACAAAAATCACCCTAAAGATAAATGATAACAATTTTTTAATTAAAATAAAAGAATTGAGAAATAGAGAAAATAGTGAATAAATTATAAATTTAATGAGAATGTATTGACAATGATATATTGGTTGACCTTCAAAAAAAAAGTATTGACAATGATATTTTTATTTGTTTTATTACTATTAATAAAATAGACAAATATAGTAATTGGTATCAAACCCCTTATAGTAGGGTACAAAAGTCACCCTAAAGATGAAGATTTAAGAATAAAATTGGCTGTGTTTTCAATTAGTTACAAAATAATTGTCCCCCATTATTGTGCCATATAAAAAAGGGAATTCTCATTCCCCAACATTAATGGGTCGTTTAGTTGGATGCAATTACAATTCAATTACAACATAATTTTTTGGTCACCAGAATTACAGTGTTCAGTTGGAGGGAATTGTAATTTCATTGAATTGCAATTTCCTCATTTTGTTATGTTGCAATTTTCTCATTTTGTTAAATTGTAATTTTCTCATTTTGTTAAATTGCAATTCATACCTACCCTTGTATGATTGTAATTCAATGAAAAAAAAGAAAGGAAAAAAATAAGAAAAAGACTTTTTTACCCTTGATTATTCTTATTAATATTATCTCATTCATAATAAATAATAATTACGGACTATATTCCTCCTTACCAAACAATATAATTTGAATTCTTACTTTATTTTCCCAACGAATTACAATTCCCTACTCGTACTCTTCCAAAAAAAAATAAAAATTAACACTCCTATGAAAAAGCATTATGGATTTTGACGATTGATTGCTACAATGAAGAAGGAACATAGTAGAAGTACGTATTCCTTAACAACCTCCTCAACATTTTCCATTCTTTCGTACTAGTGATGTAGTTTTGATTTGCATGATTTGTAATAGATTTGGGTTTACCATAGTGATGATTGAAATTGAAATGTGTATTTGTTATTATATTAGGAATAATGTTCAAATTGGCCACTGAATGTAACATGAAAATGCAATTAAGTCACTGAACGGGAAAAAAAAATGCGGAAGATAGCAAAATACCACCAAATTTCAACAGGTTACCTACTTACGTGGAATGTGAATTGGCATTTTAAATCATTGTTAATAATAAATTTTAAAATAAAAAATATATTAAAATTAAAATAAATAAATAAACCTTTAAGGTGGCCCCCCCAACCCCACCTCCTCCTCCTTTGTCTCCGACAAATCTCTTCGTCTCTAACCAAAAACGAAAAGATCTATTCTCTAGTGGTAGACGAAGAGATTTGTCTTTGTCTCTAACCGGAGAGAGAGTATGTCTTCGTATCAAGACAGATCCTTCGTCTCACGTCCTCCCATTCCCCCTCCTTCGTCTCTGCCAGAGACAGGGGTGGGGGAGAAGGGGTGGCTGGAGACGAAGGAGGTGGGGGGGGGATAGGGGTGGCCGATCGCCACTCCAATGTTTATCATATTATTATTTATTTATTTAAATTTAATTTAATTAAAATTTAATTTTTCAAATTTTAATTTACATTTATTATTAAAAATTATTTAAAATCCCAACTCACACGTAAGCAAGCAACCTATTAAAATTGATGGTAACCTACTATCAAATGAAATTGTATAATTTAAAGTGTTCAGTGACTTAATTACACTTTTTTTGACCTAATTGCACTTTCAGGTTACATTCAATGGCCAATTTGGACCTTATTCCTCATTATTATCATCTAATATAGTATATTTTCATATGGTCTTACTTTTATGGAAGATATATAAAGTTTTGATAAAGATTATGCAACATCAACAAAGTAAAAATGACAAGTTTCCAAGAAAAGCATAACCAGTTGGAAGCACAGCATCAGAATCTGAATCCTTAAACATAACTTTGATAGAAAACTCAAGAAAAATTATACTGTAACTGCTTTAAAGCCACACTTAATGTGTAAATCAGGCCAGGGAAAACAAAAATAAAAACTAACAAGAATTCTGAATAAGAAATAATCAATCTAAGAACCTTTGTCAGACTTAGCAGCAGTAGCTGCAGCTTGACCACGAAGACGACCAGTCCTCCTTGCAGCAATGAGACCAACTTTCTGCCCGGGTGGTGCATCGCGACGAACAGTGCTAGCATGACCAATGTGTTGATGGTTACCACCACCATGAGGATGCTCCACAGGATTCATAGCAACACCACGAACCTTAGGCCAGCAATTCCTCTTAACACGGAACTTGTGATAGGCATTACCGGCTTTAAGGAGGGGCTTCTCAGTACGCCCACCCCCGGCAACTTGGCCAATCATAGCACGACATCCACTAGGCACAATCTTCTTGGATCCTGATGGCAACTTAATCCTGTCAAGGAGGAATGTGTCAACAAATCTTGATGAAATAAATACATCAACCCAATATTCAACACTAAAACAAGCAATCTCATGCTTAGCAGTATAACAAGCACACTTTCCCAGCAAAGCACTTCAATTAGTTCAACAATAGACAGCCTAGTCTAATTTCCATTTACAGTTTCTCCAAAGTCCAAACTAATTAACTACTTCAGCAATGGCTTGATTCAATATAGACATAACACTTTTCAACTCCAAAAGAAATAGAACTTAAGGGACAACCCCAACCAAGATGGCAAGAAAACCACGCTCGTAACCCCTTGCTTTGAGCCGGTAAGCTAGGGGTAACCTAGGCTGAGTCCATTGCTGGCTAGGGTAACAAGATGGAGTTTACTCACTCAAAATGGTTGTGGGGTTTCCCCCATCATCCAAAAATAAAAAAGACATAGTGATTAATGAAAGGAAAACCATCCCATAATCAGGGGTGCTTGTATAGATTGGGCATTGATACAACCAAATACTAATTTAGACATTATAAAAATATAAATACTTTTGCATCAAATGGCAAGTGACTACAATTTCAAAATTCATTTCCTATAACCACAATCCATATTCCAGTTTGTCATCAACATCCATAAAGGTGAATATTATGTTTAATCCACCCAGAATCACAACTAATCAAAGATCTGGTGCAGTTTTTGTAACTGCAAATCAATGTTCATCACAGCCAAAATAATACAAGCACATAATCAAGGGAAAGCTTATAAGGCAGTCAGACAAACAATCTAGAAACTCAAAGTACCATGAACTAAACAAAGCAGAAGATGAATTTTGCAGTAAACTGAATTCAAACCCAAAAAAATTACTGTATATAAAAGTTCGCATAAAACAAAGAGCCAGATTATATACGTGTACAGGCAGAATAGAAATCGCGGAAATAGCGTATACCTAGTGGTTCCATTGTCGGGGTTGTGACTGATGACAATAGCGTAATCGCCGGAACACCTAGCGAAGACACCGCGGTCACCGACCTTGTGCTCGACGTTGCACACTACGGCACCTTCGGGAATGGATCTGAGAGGCAAAACATTTCCGACGATGAGATTGGCCTTCTTACCACAGTAGACAAACTGGCCGGTGTACATCCCCTCGGCGGCAACGAAGAGCTCCTTCTGGTGCTGGTAGCGGAAGGGATGGCGGAAAGTGACGCGAGCAAGCGGCGCGCCACGACCCGGATCGTGAATAATCTCGGACACCACACCCTTGAGGTACCCATTGCGCTCGCCGAAATCCAAGGACCGGAACTTGGCGGGTCCTTTGCGGTGGTGGGTGTGGGACTTGAATACGGAACCCGCACCCTTACGCTGCGCTCTGATTACACGACCCATCTTCCGCCGAGTGTAAAAGGAGTGAAGGGTTTGGAGAGGAAAGGAGATGAGACTGTAATATACGGAGGAAGATGGAGGATGCCCAATTGCTAGGGTTTTAGAAGAGACTCGCCGTAACCCTAGTCCCTATGCAAGAGATTTTAGTATAATTACATTTCGAGCTATAATGTTCTTTCATTTGAATATTGTAACTTATAATTTTTAATAATTATAGTTTGTACTGATGAGAATGATTAGATCGACCCTTTTATTTGGTCATATTTACTACATGGATTCTCAATCTTTATTCCTTTGTTTCTACTCTTGATGTGGCAAGAGCTGATAAGTTATCTCCATTCTGTAAGTAAAAAGAAATCAATATCAAAATTTTGAATAAGAGAATAAAAATAGGGAGTAAAATTTGAGAGTCCAAATAGTATTTTTCATAATAAATATGTCGATTAAAATATATGTGAGAAATTAACAATTGTTAAAATTAATCGTTAATTTTAGTGATATGACACAATATAAGGTGAGATTTGATTTTATTTTACTATTCCGTATTATTTAAAGTAATTAATTTAATTATAATCAAGCTTTACAAAAAGCATTTTAATAAGGTTAAAGTGTCATCCTACACCATTAATATCAAATTGTTCATGTCGCACACTGACCTTTCATAACATATGTTTCGAATCATAAACCATTAATTTTTTTTCGCCTAGAATTCTTTACCATGGCGTTTGGTGGAAGGGATTCCCTTCCCACTTAATTCCCACCTAATGTGGAACTTATTTTAGTTTATCTAATGTGGAACTTATTTTATATCAATTCCCCATAATTTGAAGTATTAATAACTAAATCCCTAAGCCCTTTTCGACGAAGTTCTCCTGTTCGACGAAGCCGGATCGAAGCTTACCGATCCTACTTCGAATTCATCCGCGTACAAGAGTGTTGAAGATGTCATCTTCCTCGAATTCATCATGGGTGAGTGCAAATATGGAGTACGAGCCTAGTATTTATTGTAATTGTGGGTTGAAAGCTCATATTTGCACAACTAGATACTCGGACAAACAATTCTTCTGGTGTCAAAGATGGAAGGTAGGGGTTTTCAAATTTTTGAATTAATTTTTGAGTTTTCAATTGTTTGAATTTTTATTTTTTCAGGTTTGTTTCGTTTTATTCATAGGTTTTGATTCAGTTTTTTTTTTTTTTTTCATTTTTTCCTTTCAATTGTTCAAAAACAATGATTTAGGGTTGTTTTTTCCCTGTAAACTTAATTTGATGTATTTTTGCTGTTTATTTTTTCATTTTATTGGTTTTATTGAATTGTTTGATTATTTCAATTTTACTTGTCCGTGACGGAAATGGTTGTGGGTTTTTTCTTTGGAAGGATCAAAGTTCAAGAACGGGGGAATGTGAGCATGAAGACATAAAGAAGCTGGTATTGTCTTTGGGGTGTAAAATAAAAGGTGTGAGAGACCTAATTGTAAATGAGTATAGTGATATGAAAAAAGAAACAAAGTGTTGAGGAAAAAGTGTGTTGTTTTTATGATTGTAATTGTGGTGCTTGTAGCAAAAATGTTTCATTTTGACTGCACATTCAAGAGACACACAATCAAGATAAACAAATCATCCATAACAGTTAACATTGAGCCACATTGACCATGCAGTGGTTCTCTAACATGTCCAAAAATGCAACAGCCACACAATAAAGTGAGACATATCATCCATAGCAGTTAACATTGAGCATAGAATAGTAGCCAAAATTCATCCATATGACAATTAACATGAAAATTAAGTTAACCAAACCATCTTTATTGATGAGTAAAGATATTCAATACATTAATCATTCACAACATTCATTAGTAGGCAAAAATCACTAATCATTCACTAATCAGTAGCCAAGATTCACTAATCATTCACTAAGCATTCACTAATCAACAACTAATCAATAGCCAAAATGCACTAATCATCAACTAAAAACATACATATATCATTTGTTACACAAAAATAAGTTACTCCATCAGACTATGAAGTGACCTTCATGATTCCAACTCCTTCACTGTGTGCAACCTACAAATAATAAAGAAAGCATTATCAAGTAATCCAACACTCCTAACAGCAATATACATGAAGTGTTGTGTTAATCTATTTACCTGACATTGCAACAGTGCTTTCCTGAGACAATATTGTCCCTCTTACTCTTCCTCTTCCTCTTCCCCTCACAGCAATAGATGACATTCCTCTTCATCTAACAACAGAAGAACTACCAGATTCTGCTTGTTAACTTGACAAACTAGGACAAAATCTTTTGTTATGGCCCTTTCCCTTGCATAGTTGACACGTCATTATTCTTCATTTCCTTGACAACTTACTCACATTTGTACTCATTTTTTTCTTGTTCTTTTCATTCTCTTCAAGCTTTCTTTTTTTTTTCTTTGGTCTGCCAGTCATCTTCCTTGGAACTAGAGCATGTGTCTTATCTCATTTTGTTCTTGGCCAAAACATTTCTCCATTCAATGGTAGGATTACATACTCATAAGTCTTCAAGTATAGCTCCTTACTATACCATTCATGGATGTACTCTTCAGGTCAATGTCCTTTGTGAAATATGGCACAAATGTCATGAGCACATGGGATACCAATCAACTGCCAAAGTCTACAAGAACATGTTCTCAATTGTAATTTTACCTTGATTTGAAATCTACCATTTTTAATCTCATAGCCCTCAACTCCATTGAATACCACTTGCCAACATGCACTCCCAAGTATGTTTTCATTCACCTTCTTCATCACAAATGAGTCATAATTTCCACTCCGTTTTTCAGCACATGATTTCTTCTTTGCAATTTTCTTCATCACATATACTCGTATGTCCTCTTCATCACAAATGAGCCATAAATCCCACTCCCAAGTATCTTTTCATTCACCTTCGAATTCACTCCCAAGTTCATAATTTGTCTCAACTTCACTTCCCCCTTACTCACCCCTAATTCTGCCTGAAGTTCAGTCTCTCCATGTTTACCCCCTAATTCTGCCTCAACTTCAGTCCCTCCATGTGACAAGCCAAAAATAATTTTTCTAAACTCTATTTTATAAAATTCCAAAATAGCTATTTTCACTCTTTCAAAATTTTATTTTGAAAACGGTGTTTGAATTAAATATTTTAAACCAAGTTTTAAAATAAATTCAGCACCAAGATTTATTCTATTCCAAAAATCCTAAAATTTTGGGTATATTTATGTACCAAGTTTTGACCCGAAAAGTCAATCTGAGTGAAACAGAAAAGGAACTTGTGAAACTTGAACCAAGTGTTTTAACTAGAAACTATTTTTAGAAAATCTATTTTGACCCCAAGTTATTCAAAATCATCTTTTTAGACTATGGTCCATGATGCAAGGTAAACCACAAGCTTTCTACAAAACCTTTGTTGATCTATGCTAAAAGCCAAGCTAAGTTACCATTTTAACCTCCACAATCATTGGTAATCTTCCTAGGGTTTTGGACCCTATAAATACCTCCCTATTTCATTGTTGTTTCCTGGTCTCTTTCCTTTCCTCTCCACCCTTGAGTTCTCTGTTAGAAGAAGAAGCATTACAGTAAGTCTCCCAAGCCTTATTCTCATCCATTCATTCCATCTTATCCTTTGGTTTTCATCTTCTTTGCTTCAATCTCTGAGGTTCCATCTTTGTGTGTTGTTTGGGTGGTTTGTTTGTGGAGTTTAGGAAGTGAAGGTGGTGGAAGTTGAGTAGAGAGGAGGAAGGGATCCATACAAGGAAGAAGAACAAGCTCAGGTATAAATCATGGACTCCCAAACTATATTTTGACTTTGTGAAATGCTAGAATGAGAAATAGATGTGTAGAAATGCTAGATAAATGTTGTTGTTGAGCTATTTGTGAGTTATTGTTGATCTATGATTGATTTGTTGAGGTTTAGAAGTGTTGGATTGCACTGGTTTTGTGTACAGGTGAAGAAGAAGGTGTTTGGTGCACCAAATCACCCAATGGAGCTTACCAATGGACCCTGGCTTGGTCCGTTGGTAAGCTCCGTTGAGCAGCGGACCAGGGAAATTGACCTTGGCACGGTCCGTTGCCTTGCACCGCGGCTTGGCAGAGCCATGTGGCGAGGCTACCCTAGCCCCGTCACCAAGCTCTGCTAGGCCAAAGCCAGTTCAGGTCGGGCCCTCTGTGGCTCAGCTACACGTTGTTCGGACCGGGACTCGTGGGCCCTTGAGGCTCAGACACTCGGGCTCGTTACGACGCACTAGTAGAAGTTAGTTTCGTTGAATTTGGAGTTTTAAAGCATGATTTATAGTTGGATTTTGTTGTGAGAAATGAATGCTCAGTATTTGTAGTGTTTTGTAAATGTTATATTGTAAAGGAAAAATAAAGACATATGAGTTTTGTTAATTTGAGTTGAAAAGCATGATCAACACTTGATATTTTTTTATTGAGAAGCATGCCTAAATACTTGTTGGTATTTTGTTGAGAAGTTTTGCTAAGCATTTGAGAAATTGGTATGAGCAGTGTATATTTTCATAGTTTACAGAGAATGAGAATTTGAGTAATTTCCAGTAAAGAGCATGCTTAGCTTTTCATTTGAGTAAAGTGCATCATTGACTCTAAGTAAGCCTAAGTTCTATTTCAAAAACCTATATCTATTTTGGAAAATCATTATCTATTTGCATTGAGAAGTTGCATGATATTTGATTTCCAAAGTTGTGAGAAAGAGAAGTTGATTGAGAATAATGTGCATGAGCTTGCATAAGTAAAGTTTGTGGTATGAGAAAGAAGTTGCATGAGTTATATATATATATATATATATATATATATATATATATATATATATATATATATATATATATATACTATCTATTGTGAGGAAAATAGTATTTTCGGAGGCCCGTTAAGACTATGTCCTTTCGGAAGAAAAGAGAAAGAAAGAAAGTTTGAGAAAAGAAACAAATATTGTGCGCCGACAGATTTTATGAAGTAACGAGGTCGATATTCCCGAGTTACTAGGTTGGATACTACCCGCCGGGCTTGGAATCCTAGTTAGGGGGTGTGCACACTGACAAGTACGATACTTGATTCCACAGAGTTTTGAGTAGAGAACCAAGAGGGTGGTTCCGTAGGCCAGATGAGTATTAGGCCGGCTAGATACCGAGCCCGGACAGGTCCATTCACACATGGTGAAGTTCCTGCCTCGCCCGCGAGTAAAGAAGAGAAAGTGAGTCTGTGTGACTCAAGAGAAAGAAGAGAAAAGTGAGTCATTGTGACTCAACAGAAACCTCCAAAGAAAAAGAATTCTTTTTATGAGAGAGAGTATATATATTTATATACTTATAGCATCATGACTTTTCTTATCATATGACTTGCATGATTTGCATTTAGAGCATGTTGAGATGTACAACTTTGTTATTGATTGATGAGTTGGCATGATAGCATGAGATTGTATATTGAGCTATGTTTATAGATATTTGTTGAAGCATGAGACTTGTGTTTAGATTGAGTACTTGAGAAAGCATGATATTGTGATGTTTAGGTTGCAAGCATATAGAGTTGTTTATGAGTATGTTGAGATTGTCGTTTAAGTGTTGAAAGTGTTTAAGATTATGTGTGCTTGCCAAATGATTTTTAAAATCTATGTCTATAGTACTTTACATGGTTGAGTGGTTTTATACTTAGCATTCGTGCTAACGGGTTTATTTTCTACTTGTTTTTATAACCCCTTTCAGGTGGGCCCAGTAACTGATAGCGCACGAGTTTAGTTGTAGTGCGTAGCTGAGATAGTAGACTCTAGTGTAGTTTCTACTTGATGTTTAGATGACTGACTGTTTTTGGCGTTATTCAAAGAATAAGATTGATTGCGGGGTTTTTTCTCCTGCGGCATATGGAGTCGTATGTTGGCCAGTGTGTTCGTGATTGGGAGTGCGGTCTACTGAAGGGGGACACGATTACTTTGCACAAGCTTAGGCTATGTTACATGTCGGAGATTGTGAGTTCTGAATATAATGTGCACAGGCAGCGCAATCTTTCTCGAGCGTACCAGTCCATATTTGCTCCTCTTCCGCTCGTGTAGATATGCGGCCTATTTAGTTACTGATGTTCGGCTTTTTGATGTTGTGTGCACACGGATATTGATAACTGTGCTCATTTTTGGGTTTTGGGTTAGTAGTTGTTTTTCTTTGGCATTGTTTTGGGAGTGTATGTTGTTCTCAACTGGTGTTGTCTGCACATTCATGTGCTACTGTGGCCTTGTGCTATTTACTCAGTTTTTCCTTATATTGAACGCTTATTAATTTAGCTACTTGGACGGTATCCTCGTTACTACTCCCTAGAATGTTTGTGCGAATATGTGGGTTCACCTGTGCACTGGTTACGTTATTTTTGGATTTTGATTCATTTAGCTACTTGCACGTTATCCTCTTTACTACCCCGTAGAATGTGTATGCGCATATGTTGGTTAAAGTGTGCTCAGATGTCTGCTGTTATGTTTTTCTTGAATTTCGAACACGTTTATGTCTTTTGTTCGTTGTGTTTGAGTTTATTTTGTCCCACCAAAATGTGTGCGCATGCTTATTTTCTTTGTGTGCATGGTATGTACCCTTTTGTTTTTAATACAAAATGTCTTATTAATAACAAGTATGCTTCATATAAATAATGTAGTACGGTTTATAATTGTAATCTGCATTGCATTGTTCAGTATTTTTGAAATAAAGAGTATTCTAAGCTTCGTCTTGTGCTAGTTTATCTGGACATGTGCAATTGTTGTGTCCTAGGAGGTCGCATATATTGCACGTCCTTTTTTTTCTTTCTTTTGATTCTTTGTGATTGCTTTCTCTTTGTTGTTTTTGAGTCGCTTCCCACTTCCTTTGTTCTTTGCGACTTTCAGGGGTTTTATTTGTATGTCTCCTGGTCTGCTTGATCCTAGTAGTGTTTCAAACATAGATTCATTGTTGCCACTCTCTTGTGTTTGCTGCCTCTTCGTTTGTAGATCGTTTTTCAATTGTTGCAATGTTGCCAACATGTGGTCCATTTTCTTAGGCCACCCACTCACTAATCCCATGCAGTTGTAGAATTCACTCCAAAGTTGATTGGCTACTTTTGTTGCTTCATTTGTTGTGGCAATATTTGTTCTTTTTGCCCATGGTACACTGTACAGTGAGTGTGCACATGCGTCTCGTGTCCATCGTGGAACAATATACTTTTGTGAGATTGATACATACCCTGTTGCCTTCATAACAGCTAGCACGTGCCTGCATAGTATACCAACACGGTTGAATTTCTTGCATGCACACTCTATTTTCGCCACTTTTGAAATTTCTGTTAGTTCAAACATTTTTCCACCTGTTTCCTCAACTTTGTAAGTCCATGTATCACCTACGTTGTTTTTGTCGGTGATGTGACACGTGAAACTGGCCTCCCATACTTCTTATTGGAATTCATAGAATATGTTTATGGTGTACACTTTAGCAACGTGCTTCTCAATACTCAAAGGGGTTTTAGTTTCATGTACGAACCTCCATTCTCTGCGTTGAGTCTTTTCTGTTTATGTATCTTTTCTCCGATGACACTGTTGTATTGCGCTATGAATTCTACCAAGCTGCAATAGTGGTTTGTAAATTTTCCAAAATAGTTGTTTTCTGATTCTGATCTTGATGTTGTCCTGAGCAGTCCTCCCATTAGTATGTCGTTGAAGTACACATGTATCCATGATGTGCGCGTCTCATACAACTGGCCAAACCACCTATGTTCTTCAAGATTGTAGTCTTTCATAAGTTTTTTCCATTTTCTCTCGAAATCATCTATGGTCAACGTGTCATCCCATATGGTAATATTCAGTGCTTTCTTGAAGTCCATGTTATGCCACAAAGAAACCCCTACCTTTTCCCCAACTTTTGTCATAATGTGCCACATACAGAATCTGTGCCTTGTTGTTGGCATAGTTTGTGGCACTACTATCTTTAGTGCTGGATCTTGGTCAGTTATATTACATGTTGGTGTGTATTCCATCGTAGTTTTGAACTTCTTTACTAGCAACTCATACGACTCTACATCTTCTTTCACAATCAAGTCCGCACCAAATGTAATGCATCTTTTGTGGTTATCCACCCTTGTGAAAGGGACGAAAACTAACTTGTACCTGCAATGTAAGCACGGTTGGAATTAGTATTGAACACATTTCTTATGGTTGTACTACTTGCATCTTGCACGCTGCTGACGCACGCGTGTTCATTTTTTTCAACATTATCCTCTTATGCGCACACGATTATTACCATGCATGCACAGACAGTGGTCATCATATTTAATGTAATACGAGATGTACCTGTTTGTGTTGTACGTAGCGTCGAATGACATGGCATCGCCGAAGCATGCATAATTCCTCCGAGATTCAACGTCTGTCCAGAATAACCTAGATAATTAAGCTTCTTCGTCTATGTCGAAATCAAAATAGAAGTCCGGGTTTTCCTCTTTTCTTTTAAACATGTCTTCTATCACCATTTGGGCATCTACCTTAGCTATATAGGCCAATAGGTTGCGCCTAAAATTGCAGAAGTCAATGCATGTTGCTCCTACATCCGTAAAACCTCCCACCATTTCTTTGAATAGTCTGAAAGCTTTTGTGGGACTGATGTTTTCCTTTGCACAGTGAGCCAAAAAGGTTTTGTGGCCGATGTGAAGTTGCCTATTTATCTTTTAAAAAGGTTTTCCCTGTTCTAAGCATAGGCAGTGTGTATGTTGCAGCTCGATTGCGTGGACTTTGTATTCGCCAGTGTCACACTTTGTCCTTACCATACGTGCCTTACAGCCTATCCTGTTGGACACTCTCCGCCATCTCTTTCGTTCATTTGAGCTATTTTGGGAGTCTTTCCTTTCGGCCTTGTAACCCTCTCGTGAGCACAACATGTATTTAATTGACACTTCCCCCATTTGATTTCTACGCTTTGTGTCATGCCTAACATCAAATCCTGCCTCCTTAGCGTATGCTTGGTAGAAATCAATCCCAACCTCTACTGATTCGAATCGCTGTCCTTCGTACGGTGTCTTCTCTTTTTAGGTTGCAGGTCTCCAGTATTTTGCACCATCTTCGCCTATTCCCATTTCACATTCTTGTACACTGTGTCTACATTGATCTTCACATATTCATCACAACAAATACATGTTAGAGTTGTTCTCCAATTATAAATTACGTGCTCTAGCATGAAAGTTGTATTAATGGTGTATTTAAATATGTGCACGGTATACTCTGTCTGTTTCGATGGGTGTTCTCTTCTGTTACTGTGTATGTCTTTTTCGCAGCCACTTTATATGGGGTCTCGATTTTGTGCTCGATTAGCCTAAACTGTGTGCATGACCTCAGAAACGCGTACTACGTCTATAATTAATGTCGTATGACTGTATTAGTATTACGGTGGATTCTAGATTTGTGCATGGAGGGCTCCAGATGCGTGCATGAGATCTATTTACACTACGGTACGACACAACCCTGGCCTAAGTGTCTAATACTGTGTATGTCTGTTGTGTCAACCTTACGGGGGTTTCTATTGTGTGCGCGCTAACTACTTCTTTGTCTGTGGCATTCATTCACTACCGTTTAGTTTTTTATGTGTTATCGCCAAAAAAGGTGTGGGCTGGTATGTGTGCACCACACTATCCGTCTGTGTGCAAGGGTAATTACTGGCGTTTTTTGCTACCAAAATCACAGTGTTCATCTCTTTTTCATGAATAGGGTTTCCCATTACTTTTATTTGCATACGTTTTCCCCAGTACATTTTTATCATATTCACACAATGATTGAATCATAAATTTACTTATCCACATACTATTCAATAATTACTCACACTCTATCCTACACCTATTGTAATGAAGTTGGGATAATTACCTGGTAGTGATGGCGACGTATAATCCATTTTAGCCTCTGCTACTTCTCATTCGTTGCTTGCCGTTGATCGCCGGAGTTTCTCCTTTGTAAGTTGTTTGGCGTTGGCGTGGTGGGTGGGGTGGGAGTGCCGTGTATCATAGAATATATAATCCTTCTTTAAGTAGTCTATTTTAATTTAGGTTAAATATCAAAATCCTATTTTTACCGTAATTAAGATTCCATAAAATTGTCTGATTTGCCCTTTTAATATTTGATTATGATGCTGACTTATTTTTTTCCACTTAAATCTAATCCCTTAATCTAATCTAATTTAATAGCCCATATTTGTCCATAGGTTTGTATTTTAAGGGTGTTTGCATGTGAATGCTACCTCTCTCTCTCTCTCTCTCTCTCTCTCTCTCTCTATATATATATATATATATATATATATATATATATATATATATATATATATATATATATATATATATATATATATATATATATATACTAGTTTTTCACGCGCATTGCGCGATTGAGATAATGTCCAATGTTTATGTTTTTATATAAGTACTTTAAGTATATCAATGCAAGATTATATTAGAGTTGGTCATACAAATAGATAATCAAATGTTGAATTTGCATATTTAAATAGATAATATAAACGTGCGAATGTAAGATAATGCAATTATGATTGATTATAATTGTCACTAAAATAATTGATTGTAATTTTCTAAATACATAGTCTAAAAATAATAGTGTAAATAATGCTAGTCTAAAAATAATAGTGTAAATAAAATCTACATTTGGTTTAATAAATTTCTCTAAGCCTTCTTAATCCTCTTGAAGGGGGCATTGTCATTCTCTTGATCTTCACCTTCAGTACACATCCTCTTCTTTTGATTTGGTAGTGCGCCATGTTCAATTGTGTTAATTGTAATATCATAGTGGGAAGCATCATGCAATGAGATTATACTGTAGGAAGAAGTGGATCTGCCTTGTTGTGTATATGCCTGAGATCTTAGTTGTACAACGAACTCTTGATCTTGTAGGCGCTTGTTGATATTTAGCAGTGGTAGTCTTTTCCCCTACATGTTTCATTCATTATGAGATGTGTGCCATATATTCTCATGTGATAGAATTAAACGAAATATTAATATATTTGTAGAAGGTTCATGAATAGTACATCTTGTTCTAGTTCCATAACTTGTTTACTTGAATGTAACAACAATGACTCTGCAAGTAGTCCGAATATTGATGCCGCAATGTGCCCAGTTTCATCAACAATTTCCACATCCAATTTGCACCTGTGCATTTTGTAGTTCGTATTTTTGGAATTGGTATGAATGAGTATAGTATTTAATCTTGTGTGTGTGTGTATTTTTTGTTAAATTGGTTTGTAGAATTGATACTAACCTTGGAGTACCCACCGCTCTCTTTTTTCACCACAATGCATACAGTTAAATTGCTGGTCACTTTGTACTAACCTTTTTTGTGCATCTTATATACCAAGTGTTGTTGTTGTCAAGGTTAATGCTGATTTTGCCCTTAATCCAAGCAGGTCGAGACTATAAAATGAAAGTGATTGTTAATTTATACTCCCTCCGTCCCATTTTGTTTGTCTGGTTCGTTTAACGAGGCTTGACTGAAGCTATTTTTACTTCATTTTTTCATAATATTAAATTTATTTTTAGTATATAAAATTTATATATTTAGAAACTACATTAAAAGTACTATTAAACATAAAAAATCAAATTTAAAAATAATTAAAAATTACTAAAGAAAATAAGCAATGAAGAAAGAGTTGGATTGACCAATGAATAGTAAACAGGACATGCAAAATGGGACAGAGGGAGTATTAGTTTTGAGTAAATATATTTAAAGAATGCTCAATAAGTATTTTACTTACGGGATTAATGGATGGTGGAACGGTCGATATTTTTTTAATTTCTTCTTTTTCTGGATTTGCAAGTTTGATTGCAGCATTGTTGTAGTCTCGACATCTTTTCAATGCTTCAAGTGTGTCACAATGTTCTTTCGCCCTACATAGACATTTTTAATAATGTGTTTTTCAATATAGCTACGCAAGATAATGATATATTTTGCATGTACATAAATTATTACAAGTATAGAAGTATACCATTGTTTTAGGTGTTCTGCTCTAGGTACCTTTGGTTCAACCACTATTGTTGAATGGGTTCTTGTGGATAGAGAAATGCCTAGTTTATTCAATGAATGAGATAATATAAGATTAGGTATTTAAAACATTTTAAATCATATTAATAATGAAATATGATTTACCTTTGAAGTGAACCACTGTGATGTAATCCAAAGATATTACAGGGTAGTTTCCCGCTTCAATTTCTTGAGTGATTTGAATACCCTCTTTGTCAACAAATCCTCCCCAAGTAGTTAATATGATTGGCTTCAACCTGTTTTTTTTTTTTTTTTTTTTTTTTTTTTTTTTTTTTTTTTTTTATTTGAACATTAGGCATTTTAAAGGCAATATAACTTATGGAACTATATCCCTTAAGTATAGTATAGTATAGTATATATATATATATATATATATATATATATATATATATATATATATAATTTAAGAGTATAAATGGAGTGGAGGACTTACTTTTCATCTACAAAAATGAAGTCATTGATTTTTTGATTTTCATTAGCTGTTGAGACAAATTCTTTTGGTAGTTTGTCAATGACAATTGCTACAATTGCTGTCAATAGAGGATGAAGATAAATAATTTAGAATATATATGATTAGAATAGATATTGTTATAATGATATAGTAAAAAATAAACTTACACATTTCTCTAGAAGTTTTCATGCATTGATAAAATTCTTCGAATGGTGTATAAACTTGTTCAATTGGAGCCACTGTCGTGTCAACATTGTCAATTGCTAGTATTCTGGTCCTAGCATTTAGAATCCAAGTGTAGTTGTATTTTTGATCTACAACTTTGAAATCAGATCGCGGGGGTCTCACGGTGGCATTTGAAATATTGTACCATGAGTTTGGTTCTAGAACCATATCATACATTGGAATGTCATAATCAAACACTGTTGCTTGAACTCGAGTTCCCTACATTTAAATATATCATTTATGATTATGCATTTGATAAATGAAATAATAATAATAAGAATAATAATATATTAATAACAACAACAACAACAACAACAACAACAACACCAATAATAATAATAATAATAATAATAATAATAATAATAATAATAAGATAGATTATGTTTTATGAATTACTTACACTTTCATTTTCAAGGACAATGAGCATGTACTTTTTCCCCTTTGTTGCAATAGCAAATTTTGGTTCATTTTTCTTAATAATACGAACTTTACAACTCCATTTTTTTGTTTGCATATCAATATCAATTAACTTGAATTCAGTTGTCATGTTTAATATCCTGCTGCCACAAGAGTAAAGAGTAATAGAAATTCATAGATTAGGTAGAAATTTTTGAATATTTGATTTTTAGAGTTTGGTATTGTTTTCAAAATAAATAAATAAATAAACAAATATTAGGATTTAATATATACGGAGTATAAAATAACTACTATACTCAAACGGCGACACAAAAGAAGAAAGAAGAAATAAAGAAAAAAAAAGGACGCAACAATCTCCATTCTCCATTTTCTCTTTTTCTTGAAGGCAAGATGGAGAATGGTGGTGAGGCGGTGAAGAATCGCGGGAGGTCAATGGAAGTACAGGTGGGGCTGGCTGATCGCCAGTGTGATATGACTGGGAGGCTAAACAGAGAGGGGAAGGCTTTAGGTAGGTTAATGGAGGTTGGACATAACTATACAGAAACATACCTGTAGGAATTTCTGTGCTGTAGAAAAATTTAGGTGTCTCCGACTTTGATGCTGTGCTTCAGAATAATTTAGGTTTGTACCTCTAACCAGTGGGCAATGGCTTAATATACTGGTGTTTTGGGTAGACTAATGGTGTAGTTAGAATTGTATACGGATTTGTGAATTAGGTTTTTCTATAAGGATTTGTAAGTTAAAATTCTATAAGGATTTGTGGGTTAGAATCTTATAGGGATTTGTAGTTTTATAAAAATGAGAGTGGTTGGTTTTTTTAATTTTTCCCTTACTCTGAATTTTTTCTTCTTAAGGTAATGTGGTATTTATTATTTTCTGTTTGTACTGTGAATTCTTTGTTCTTTTGGATTCTAATATTGTTTTTTTTTCTTTGAGAGTATGGATTCTAATATAGTATGTCTTTGTTATTGCAAAATTTATGTGTGGCAACTGCATATCGTCCAATCAGAGAGATTTTAGAAAAATAGAAAAAGGTAATTAGTCCCATTGTGTCACTTCTCAGGATTTGTGAATTACAATTCTATAAGGATTTGTGACTTTGAATTCTATAAGGATTTGTGAGTTTGAATTCTATAAGGGTTTGTAGTTTTTTAAAAATGAGAGTTGTTGGTTTTTTAAAAGGTAATTAGTCCCAACCTGTCACTTCTCAGGATTTGTGACTTTGAATTCTATAAGGATTTGTGACTTTGAATTCTATAAGGATTTGTGTGTTTGAATTCTATAAGGATTTGTAGTTTTTTAAAAATGAGAGTTGTTGGTTTTTAGAATTCTAATGAGGATTTGTGTGTTTGATAGAACAATGAAGTAGAACCTTTGATAATTACACCAAAGTGACCTTTTAAACTGAGCAAATGTTGAGAATTCAGGGAAAACTAACAAGAGAGAAAGCTGAAGTCTTAATAAGTCATACTCAGCTAAATTGATATCCTGGTTTCCTGGTTTTGGGCTCATTAACATGCCTTTTGTGATTACACTGTACACATTTGATGGCCACCATTTTATTAAAATAGTATGCCAATCTGTTCTTCAGTTTTCTCAGTGGTTGATGATGAATGAGTATTGGAGCTGAAGAAAGTGATGAGGTTCTAAATATGGACTTGGAACAACAAATATCCAAAGCAATTGATCCAAGTTTTCTTCTACAGTTATGTTAAAATCTAGGACCTTTTTTGTTAGAAAAGCAGCAAAAGAAGAAATAAAAGGCTTCAATTGGAATATAGTTACTGAGCATCTTAATAAATAATGCAGAAGGTTTTAGCTATTCTGTTCACATGACTAAGGGTGTTAGGATGGATAGAGGGGAAATGATATAATGAGCCCTTGTGTGATCAAGCATGTAGAGTGTCGGAACAAAAAGTAATTGCATTTGTCTTTGTGAATTGTGATTAACGTGCATCATAACTATGATCAATATTTATGATTGTAATGTTCATCAGCTTTGAAGTAAATGCTCATCTGACTTGTGAATTATTTATGAAGGCTCATATAACTAATTCACCCTAGGTTCATGGAATATGCAGTACTAATTCTTTTTGGATGAATGCTGACACGTGATCCACATGCCATTACATTCTAAGGTTATTGTTCACAATCTTAGTTTCGAAACATTGTGAATTGTGATCACTGTGTGAAGACCACATCAATTAATTTCGCAGCCTCTCATAGGATAAGCCTCACATGACTAAGATTCAATAATAGATGTATAACACTTGAGTTAACATTAACTAAACTATTTATGCTTCAGATTAATAAATTAGTGTTGTGGTAGTTCACTTTTTAAATTTAACATGCTCCATTGTTCATCCCCTACTTATAGATTGTTGGAATCTTGCCCTACATTGTGCTCAAGGATAAAGGTTAATATTGTGTAGTTTCTCATTTCTTCTTGTGCTAATTCTTAAGTGTGTTTTGCCTCTCTTCTTTAGGCCTTGTGGCAAATTCTATGGTTGAATCCTTTGCCTCCAACTAAATTCAACAAATATACTACCGATAGATTTACTACGAAGAGGCATCATGTGGACTTTCTTCAGCACAAGGTTTGTGTTGTGGCCTCTGAGCTCCTCTCAAAGGTATATGC